GAACTCACCTTTTGGTTTTTCCACTCAAAGGGACTCATGCCCCTTAGCGTACTAGGAGCGCTGCCCTCGAGCTCTCGCGCAAGTGCGTGCAGTCACGACTGCGCCTAGCACCTAGACCGGCCGCCGTCCTTCAACATGGGAGACCGTATTGGTCTCGCTAGCATGACACAAGTTGATGCGTCAATTGCACGAAAGCGATGAGGAACAAGCACAGTCGCACACACAAAGAACACCAGCACAGGAAGCAACATCCATATCCCAATATGAGAGAGTGGTACAACCCTCAAGCGCTGAAAGTGATGGCGTCCCACAAAACGATGTTCGTGACGACCACGGGATGACACACCCCGGAGCGACGAACGCGGTTGGAAGTCAATGTCGCGTCAACATTGCGATACAAATCGATGAGTCGGCACTCCCTTCGCCCATGCTGCTTAAGCCGCAGCGTCCGCCACGCTTCGACCCGAGACAACAAGGTGGTCCGACGGTTTCGGCGTGGATCTTCACGATGAATGTTTTCGCCTCGTCGAATGCGGCGAAAATCCGTTTCACCGCGTCATTACTGCGAGGACCCGCCATGGATTGGTGGCGCGTCTTCGTCAAGAAGCCGAGCGACTACGAGGCTCTACAGCAACGAAAAGGACCAAATGGACCCTGGGCGTCGTCGTATTTCGTAGAGGTAGCCAGTCTCGCACGTAAGACGCGTGGTGCGCAAGACTACGCGGGAGATTCAAGCCAACCGCAGCGTCAATTTCCGCGCGTCAGAAGCTCCGCACTAGGCGTCAGCTTAGAGATTACACGTGCGGGTTTTTTCCATTATGCGAGCGGGTGGGTTATGTGCACGAGGGCGGGCGCGTCCACCATTATGTTGGCAGCCTGAAGAGCGACACCGCACAAGAATTTCTACTCCGCAACATCACCGAATTTAACGAGATTTCCGCTATGGCGGAAAAAAACCCGATTTCATCCGCCGACCGGGACGGGGGTCCTACAGCAACAGCAAGTGGGGGCACCGAGCTTGTGGAACGAATGAGCACGCCACGATACGTGACGTCGCGGCGAATGCCGCTGCCGCGTCGTTCAAAAGACACTGCTTCGCGTGCAATCGGCCGGGGCACCACAAAAGTGAATGAAGGGAACAAGAGGAGTAGAGCAGCAGAAACAAACCAAGCAATATGGAAACGCTGGGATTTGCACAAGAATAGGGACATCTGCAGGTCCATATGGCAGCTGTCGGTGGTGCCTTGGGGCAAAGGGAGTGATGCTCAGGGGGAGTGCAACGCTGGGGAATTCCCGAACATCAAATATGTTCGGGAAGTTTCCCCACATGCGCGAACATTACATGTTCGGAAAAAAACCGGCGCGACATTGGTTGCGCTGGCTGGATGTAAAACCTACGGAAAGCACATATCGAGGTCATTTCGACATCAATCTCCTTTTAACGTTGAACATATAGCATTACGGATTAGTAGGCTCTGATCCAGCAGCAAACCACGCAAGTTAACGGTTTCTCCATGAAATTTAGGTTAATTAGTCGTTTTTTAGGCTGGAAAACGGTTGGTAAATTTTTTTTATCAACGATTTCAGATTTGAAAGCGTACCAAGGCTAGGGTGTGAGTTTCCCACTCGCCCTGCCCTATTCCCCCATGTTCCCCACCCCCTAAACATGTATGGGCATGTCAAATTCCTGATACGCTGGAAAGGGATATGACCCCATCGGGAGACAGCTGGGTTACAGAAGCTGAAATGGGCAACGCACGCAGTGCTCTCAAGTATTATCTTGTCAAGCAGGGTATTTCTTACGCCACCTAGCTTTGAGGGGAGACGTGTGAGAGTACAATGGCTCTGCCTACACATATTTATTTTACCTTGCGTTATCTTGCTTATTTCTATTTTCTTTGCTTGTTTTCCTAGTTTCGTTGCTTAACTATAGTTATTACAGTTATAGGCACCGAAAAGGTTACATGCACCAAATTTTGTGCTTTTCGGTTTCCACCGAAAGGCTTCTACCGAATTCAGGAAGGGCCTGTTCGGGATGCTTCGCAACCCTCGGAACCTTCTCGTAACATCCTGGTTACTGGCCTTTTCGTGCCTATATATAGCCACTGGGTTGTACTCAGGATTCAAAATTTACTTTGAGCACATTTCTTTTCCTGGACCTGTGACATACGACCTGTCCTGTAAGGATCAGAAAGAAGGAGGGCTAGGGGTTCTCAACCCAAAACACCGAATCGACAGCACAGTCATCTAGATCCTGGGAAAAACTCTAGCGGAGCAAGAACCTCTGAGGAAGTGGATGTGTGAGAGAGCTGTTGGGTTTCCACTCGGGCTGGCCACAATCTATGCGCATCCCTCGATCTTGAAGCATTGGCTGGAGGGAGGCACGCGCTAGAAAGCCACGGTGAAGGCGCCGTGGGAGTCGAAGATTGTGACTGTGGAAGAGCCGGAGAACAGATGAGAAGCGGAGGAGTTGCAGTTGTTGTTTAACCGGAAAATAGTATTCAGGGGCATATCACCATTCAGAGGCCAAAAGGGGTCGCACTGCCTGAAGGGAGTCAAGTTGGGAGACCTCTTGGTCAAGGAGGCAGACGGGAGCAGAACACTTAGGAGCAACGCCACGCTTGAGAGAGAGCTAGGCGGGGAGGAGTAGAGGAAATGGGCAGTGAAAGCACGGGAAGCGACGCCGCAGAGTTGGAGGGACATGGTTTTGAGAAAAACTAACAGCAGAGGATTTTTTCATGGTGATCAGACTAATGCGCACGGCATCCTATCGACGAACATTTTCATATGATTTCTTGTTGTCGCCAAGTTGAAGAGGCTATGGCTGGCCCCCACGTCGACAAACATTTTCATATGATTTTTAACACTTTACGAGCGACCAGTACAGGGTGATCCACATGATTATCCCCGTCATTCGGCCGAGTGCGATCGATTGCATGAATCGGAACCACGACTCGGTGGGGATGGTGGTGTTCGGGTGACAGAGCACAGTCAGTAAAGGGCCCGCTAATCACTTGTGAGAGAAGGAATTAGGAATGAAGTTGATTATTTGATAGAGAAACAAGGGGGGTATACATAGTAATGGGGTTGGATGCTAGCCTAAGGTGCCATTATTGGACCCCAACCAAGAGGTTGGGTTGGGAGATTATTGGTGGGGTCCAATAATGTTGGCCAAGGCCAACATTATTGGAGGGGGGCAATAATTCTACCCAACCCAACCTTTTGGGGTCCAATAATTGGACCAAGGTTGGGTTCCAACCTACAAACTGGGTTACCCCTGTTTGTACACCCAAACTAAGTTTGGGTGCTTAACTCTAGCCTAACCTATAGCATATATGCAGGTTACAAGAGAAGAGGGATTCTAACACAACCCCTTAACCGGCAGAGATGCGGAAAGGCGTGAGGGAAGCAACCCCTGAATCAAGGCGCGCCTGGGGGAGCGAGGCCGATGAGGCGGAGAAGAGCAGAGTGCGCAGGGCGAAGAAGGGCTTTGGTAAAGATATCAGCCAAGTTGGCTTCAGCAGCGATCTTGCGAACGGCAAGGAGGTTCTGGTGGACAAGTTCGCGGATGAAGAAATAGCGGAGCTCAATGTGCTTGGAGCGTCCATGAAAGACGGGGTCCTGGGTGAGATGGATGGTGCTAGCGTTGTCACACCAGAACGTGGGACAGCGCTGGGGTGCTCCAAGCTCTGCCAAAAGAAAGCAGAGCCAGCGGGACTCTTGCGCGGCCATGGTGCCAGCATAGAGCTCAGCTTCGCAGGAGGAGAGGGCAATGGCAGAGGAGCGAGTAGAACGCCAGCTGATAAGCCCGCTGCCGAGTGTGAAGCCATAGCCTTGCGAGGAGCGGCGGTCTGGCTGGGAGTCTGCCCAAGAGGAGTCGCTGAAGCCAGAGAGAAGGGGAGGGGAGGATCCACCCAGGGTGAGGGCGTGATCCTTGGTGCCACGGAGATAGCGGAGGACCCGCTTGGCGGCAGCCCAGTATTCGTCAGAGTGGCGGCCGGAGCCGACGAACCGAGCAAGGACGCTGATGGGGTAGGCGAGGTCGGGACGAGTGCACATCATCGCGTACATCAGTGACCCAACAAGCTCGGCATAGGGCCGGGAGGAGGGGGAGGGGGAGGTGGGTGGCGCGAGTTGGTGACCGAAGGGGAGGGGGGTGGAGACCAGTTTGGCCTGCGCCATCTCGAACTTCTCCAGGACCTGGCCGATGTAGTGGGACTGGGAGAGGGTGATGGTGCGGGCGGATCGATCACGAGTGATGGCCATGCCGAGGTAGTTCTGCAGCGGACCAAGGTCCTTGCACTTGAGACGTTCCTGAAGTGACCGCTTGACTTGCTCCATGTCAGCCTTGGTGTCAGCGAGCAGGATCATGTCGTCAACGTAGACCGAGATGAAGAAGCGACGGGGGGAAGAGCGGATGAAGAGGCTGGCATCGGAGTGGGAGGCGGAGAAACCAAGGGACTGGAGAGTGGCAGACAGCTTTGCATGCCATTCTCGTGGTGCCTGCTTCAGGCCATAAACAGGTCGCCGAAGTTGCCAGACGGTGTTGTCAGGGAAAGCAGCATGAAACACGGGAGGCCGACGGAGGTAGATGCGCTCGTGCAGTTCGCCTTGCAGGAACGCGTTGGAGACGTCCATGGAGTCAATCTCCATGTCGTCACGCGCACCAATATCCATGAGGGTGCGTAGGGTGGCCTGCTTGACAGTGGGGGCAAATGTGAACCAGTAGTCTTCAGCCCAGGTCTGGGTGAACCCCTTGGCAACGTAGCGGGCTTTGTAGACTGGTTCTTCTCCCGGCAGCTGCTTGACTCGAAAGATCCACTTGCCCTCGACAAGGTTGGCGTCAGGGGGGAGGGGAACGTCAATGAAGGAGTCGTTGCGGATAAATGCCTCACATTCCAGGAAGACGGCGGCTATCCACTTGTCAGCGTCAGGGCAGGTGATAGCCTCCTGGAAGGTGGAGGGGACGAAGATGGTGGGAGCGGAGATCGCGCTAAGGATTAGAGCGCCGAGGAGGCCAGGGTAGAGCGTGGTGAGAGAGGGAGTGTGGCGCTGGACCATGGTGAACTCCTCATGGGAATCCTCGAGCTGGTTGAGGGAGGGAGGTGGCGGTGTGCCAAGGATGGGATCGAGGGAGCGGGTGTGCATGCGAGGGAGGAGGAAGGGTGAGGAGCGGGCAATTGCCCTCTGCCGCTGCTGCTGCTGGTGCTGCTGGAACCCCTGCTGCTGCTGCGGCTGCTGCTCCTCCCGATGCTGCTGCCCCTGCTGCTGCTGCTGCCCCTGCTGCTGCTGCTGCTGCTGCTGCTGCTGCGGCGGCTGCTGCCCCTGCTGCTGCTGCTGCTGCTGCTGCCCATGCTGCTGCTGCTGCTGCTGCTGCTGCTGCGGCTGCTGCCCCTGCTGCTGCTGCTGCTGCTGCTGCCCAAGCTGCTGGGACGGAGGAGAAGGAGAGGGGGGAGGAGAGGAGGGAGGGGGGGCTGCGGAGTGTGCAGGGGATGCAGGAGCAGTGGGATCGTAGATGTCGGCAGATGAGGGTGGCGGAAGCGGAGTAGGGAGAGGTGGGAGAAGGGGTGCAGGAGGGAGGAGGGGAGGGAGCACAGTGTCGGTCCAGGTGAGAGGACGTGAAGGAGGAGGGAGGGGGTCTGGTGGTGAAGAGGAGTAATAGGGGGTGGTTTCGTCAAAGCCGACGTCAATGCTGCGGATAAGGCGTCCAGAGGGAGGGTGAAGGAAGAGGTAGCCAGGCGAGTCGCGGTTGTGCCCGAGGTAGACACACTCGAGGGCGCGAGAAGCGAGCTTGCCGTGGGTGCGATCGGGTGGAGGGATAAGGACATATGCCTTGCTACCCCAGACACGGAGACCAGCGGCGTCAGGTTTGGTGCCCGACCAAAGCTCCGTGGGGGTGGTGGTGGTATGTTGAGGATGGGAGTGAAGGTTGAGGAGGAGGGCAGCATGGAGCAAAGCATAGCTCCAGAGGGAAGGGGGGGTTGAGGCGTGAGCGAGGAGACAGCGGGCGATCTTGGTGATTTCACGAATCCGGCTTTTTGCGACGCCATTCTGCTGCGGGGAGTGGGGGAGGGTGTGAGTCTGTTGGATGCCATGGGTGGTGCAGTAATGGGAGAGAGTGCGATTGAGGAATTCGCCTCCCCCATCAGAGTGTAGGCGGCCGATGGGACGCTTGAAGTGGGCGCGGCATTGCTCGGCCCAGTTAATGATCATGGTCGGCGCCTGGTCTTTCGTGTGGAGGAGGAAAATGGAGGAGTAGCGGCTGTGGTCGTCTACGAGGACCAGCATGTAGCGATGGCCCTGACGGGAACGAGTGGGGGAGGGTCCCCAGAGGTCCATATGGACTAGGTCAATTGGAGCGGGAGCAAAGGATGGGTGGCTGTGGTGGGGGGACTGTTTGAGTTTGCCGTGGATGCAGGAGGGGCATGGAGGGGCTGGAGAGGAAGGGAGGGGGGGGAGAGTGGGAGGGAGGCTGTGAAGGAGGCGAGAGGTGATGGCAGTGCGGAGAGCGGCGAAATTGGGGTGGCCGAGACGGTGGTGGAGCAGCACAGCGGGGTGGGAGAGATGATCGGAGGTGGAGGGGGCTGGAGTGAGTGAGGGAGGGGGAGGTGACTACTGCTGCTGCGGCTGCCCCTGCTGTGGCGGCTGCTGCTGCTGCGGCCCCTGCTGCTGCCTCTGCGGCGGCGGCTGCAGCTGCTGCTGTGGCTGCCGCGGCTGTGGCGGCTGCTGCTGCTGCTGCTGCTGCTGCTGCGGCCCCTGCTGGTGCCTCTGCGGCGGCGGCTGCTGCTGCTGCTGCTGCGGCCCCTGCTGCGGCGGCTGCTGCTGCTGCTGCTGCTGCGGCCCCTACTGCTGCCTCTGCGGCGGCGGCTGCTGCTGCTGCTGCTGCGGCCCCTGTTGGTGGCGTGGAGGTGAGGTAGGGGGAGGGGGAGGGTTAGTGGAAGTGCCAGCACGAGTGGTGACATGGCAGAAGGATGGCCAAGGGGTGCGGAGAGTGTAGAGGCGAGTGCGGGGGCAGAGGGGAATGCGTAGAAGGAAGCGACCAGTGGCGGTGTGGTAGAGGTCACAGTAGGTGGCATTACCTGGATAGACGGCAGTGATACCTGCATTTTGGATTTCACGATGGGAGAGGAGGTTGTTTCGGAGGGTGGGGATGTGGAGACCAGTTACCTTACCAGAGGGGAAGAGTGTGCAGGGGAGAGTGGAGAGGTGTGTGCATGGGATGGTAAAGTTGCTGTCAGCGCCGTGAACTTGAGTGGGAGGAGAGAGGGGTGTGAGTGTACCAGCATCCTTGAGAGCGGTCTCAGTGGCCCCACTATCGAGGACAAAGTCCAGAGTGGGTGAGGAGGAGGAAGAGACGGAGTACTGGAAAGCAGTTTCATTAATGGTGGATGGGTACATGGAAGGAAGGGAGGGTGAGATAGCAATGTTGCCAAGAAAGCACTCCTGGGTAAGAGGAGGGGCAGTGCTACTAGGGGGTGGAGCACCCCAAAGGGGGGCCGGTGAGGCTTGAGCGGCTATGGCAGCTGTGCCAAAATTCAGCTGCTGCTGCTGCCAAGGAGGAGGGCTGGGTCCCCACTGGGGTAGGAGTCCAGTACCCCATGGGTGCTGCTGCGGGTGCGGCTGCTGCTGCTGCTGTGGCTGCTGCTGAAACAGCTGTTGCAGTTGCTGCTGCTGCTGCTGCTGCTGCTGTTGCTGCTGCTGCTGCTGCTGCAGGAGATGCTGCTGCTGAAGATTGAGGAAAGGTGTGGGAGGAGCAAGGAGGCGGAGGTGGGCAGGGAGGTAAGCGGGGCTGGTTTGGATGTCGGCAAGAGAGGGACGTGGGGAAATCGTGCCCCACTTTGGAGGAGTGCCAACGTTACCTCGTGCGTACCAGGCATCGTCGAGAGCCTTGAAGCAAGTGCCAGGGGGATGGTTGGTCTGCCCGCAGGGTGTTCCAGCCCGGGGACCATAGCGGCGGACATAAGTGCAGGGAGGAAGAGTGCCAGGACGACTCCCGCGGCTCGCAGAGGCTCCGCCTGAATTGGTGGTGCCATGCTCATCCCCTGTGGTGCCACCACGGCTGCTTGCACTGCTGCTTCCGTGACCGCCACCTCCCTTGCCCCCACCTCCTCCTTTGCCGTTGTTCTTGCTCTGCTTGCGGGGCTGGGTAGCGTTGAGGGAGGAGGCGAGGTTGACAATGGGAGTGCGGAGTTTGACTTCAGTATCAATGATCCATTGTTCAACGGAGGCGAGATCAGCCATGGGATTGGCTTCGGTAAAGGCGTGAAGGCGGGATTCATAGTCTGGGGTGAGGTTAAAAAGGAGGCGGTGGATTTGGAGGGGTTCGGAGAGGCCGGCTTGGCGGGCTTCGAGGCGATCAGCTACCTCTCTCATGCGTCCGACATAGTCAACCGCTCCGTCACAGGTGGCGAGGGTGATTGAAAAGTATTCTTGAAAAAGGATGCCGACGGAACTGATGTCGCGAAGCTCAAACATGGCATGGAGTTCTGCCCAGATGACCGAGGCACGGAGTTCCCGAGCCTGGAAGCGGCGCATGAGGGAGTCAGGGAGAGCACCAAGGAGAACGGTGCAGGCGCGGGTGTCAGCAGCTGTCCAGGCGATGAGTTTCGGGGTGAAGGCAGCCATGTCGTCTTTGTATTTGGCGACGATGGCGAGGTGAGCATTGCGGCCAGCAACCGCCTGGTCATAGGCGTCAACGGCTGCATCGTACTCGGCTTTGCGGATAAGGTATGCACGGCGGCGTAAGATGAAATCTGCATCAGCGGTGGCTTGGTCGGTGGTGAGCTGGAGGTCGGGTTCAAGAGGGGGATCGCCAGGAGAGGGAGGGAGAGGAGGAGTCTTGCCGGGGTGATCAGGCTCGGTGGGGGGGAGGGCATGGGGACGGCGGAGGATGATGTCAAGGACGCGGTAGGGGGGAACCCATGCGTCGGAGAGGACCTGTCGGATGCTGCCGACGAATGAGTGCCAGTTGACGGCGGATTTGTCCGCTGCGAGCTGCAGTTTATCGATGGAGGAGGGATCAATAGGAGGAGGGAGGGGGGAGGGGGAGGGTGTGGCGTTAGCCATGATGGACGGCTGCGGGTGGACCCGCAGTGGTCACGGAGGAGAGCGGCGCGGGCGGCAGCGGCTGGCGAGGCCGCGGCGGCGTTGGCGCGGAGGCGGCGTCGAGGCCGCGGAGGGGAGTGGCGCGGGCGGCAGCGGCTGGCGAGGCCGCGGCTGCACTGGCGCGGAGGCGGCGTCGAGGCCGCGGAGGGGAGCAGCGCGGGCGGCAGCGGCTGGTGAGGCCGCGGCTGCGCTGGCACGGAGGCGGCGTCGAGGCCGCGGAGGGGAGCAGCGCGGGCGGCAGCGGCTGGTGAGGCCGCGGCTGCGCTGGCGCGGAGGCGGCGTCGAGGCCGCGGAGGGGAGCGGCGCGGGCGGCGGCGGCTGGCGAGGCCGCGGCTAGGCGGGCGCGGAGGCGGCGTCGGGGCCGCGGAGGGGAGCGGCGCGGGCGGCAGGCGGCTGGCGAGGCCGCGGCTGCGCTGGCGCGGAGGCGGCGACGAGGCCGCGGAGGGGAGCGGCGCGGGCGGCGGCGGCTGGCAAGGCCGCGGCTGCTCTGGCGCGGAGGCGGCGTCGAGGCCGCGAAGTGGCGCGGGCGGCGGCGGCTTGCGAGGCCGCGGCGAGGCGGGCGCGGAGGCGGCGTCGGGGCCGCGCAGAGAAGCGGCGCGGGCGGCAGCGGCTGGCGAGGCCGCGGCGAAGCGGGCGCGGAGGCGGCGACAAGGCCGCGGAAGGGAGCGGCGCGGGCCGCAGCGGCTAGGGAGGCCGCGGAGCTGTGGAGGGAAAGGGCGCTAAAGGGGGGGGGGGGGGCGGCAGGATAGCCGCGAGGAATAAAAAAATGAGGGAGGAGGCCGGGGGTTGCAGCGGCCGGGTGGGCCTTTGAAACGAGTGGGGTAGGCCTAGGATTGATAGCTCTATACCATGTGAGAGAAGGAATTAGGAATGAAGTTGATTATTTGATAGAGAAACAAGGGGGGTATACATAGTAATGGGGTTGGATGCTAGCCTAAGGTGCCATTATTGGACCCCAACCAAGAGGTTGGGTTGGGAGATTATTGGTGGGGTCCAATAATGTTGGCCAATGCCAACATTATTGGAGGGGGCCAATAATTCTACCCAACCCAACCTTTTGGGGTCCAATAATTGGACCAAGGTTGGGTTCCAACCTACAAACTGGGTTACCCCTGTTTGTACACCCAAACTAAGTTTGGGTGCTTAACTCTAGCCTAACCTATAGCATATATGCAGGTTACAAGAGAAGAGGGATTCTAACATCACTGACTCTTCCCATTTCCCTGCTCCTTCCTGTCGTCCCCTTTCGCCGGCGTTTTCTCAGGGCAGTCGTGCATATAGTGACCCGTCTTCCCACACCAATAGCACGGTCCCTTAGAAGGGTGGCTGGGTGTATGGACTACGTTAATTTTGGCCTGTTGGGTCTGGCCTCGAAAACGGTTTCCGTCCCGGGAAGCTGTTCTCGCGTACTGCATCAGAGCATCCGTGGACTCCGCCAGCCGTACTGCTTCCAGGAATGATGTCGGGCGGCCTCGGCGCACCTCATACTGGATTTTATACTTGAGGCCGCTGACGTATTTATCTAACCGCTCCGCTTCCGACATGTCATCCACTTGGTCGACGAGGCCTATGAACGACGCTGTGTAGTATTGGACAGATGCCAGCTGCAACCAGGCACACAGCTTCATGCGAGCTTGCCCCGATGCAGATACGTGCTCGAAGCGATCTCGTAAGGCTGCGCCCCACTCCTTCCACGTGCGTATCTTGGTCACCCCGAAGATCGATTCTGCCACTGATTAGCCGATGTTGAGGTCCCGTCTGCTGCATGCGTCACACCTGTCGGGGTCACCGTGTCTAAGGTTTGGTGCCACCACTCAAGCGCTGTGCCTCGCATAAGGGATACCACGTAATTAATATGCGTGGCGTCGTCGTTGATGTTTGCTGTAGTGAAGAAGACTTCAATGCCGAAGAGCCACCCTTCACTGTAGTAGTCTTGTCCGTAGGATTGAACGGGGGCGGGTTTACGGGTTTAATCTTGATCGTCGTTACTGCAATTGGCGTCACTGCCACTCGCCACTTATCTTCTTCTTCGAAGTCACGTGTAAGCTCGTCCAACGGGTTGCTCACCGCTTGACTGTTGCCCTCGCCTTCTTTGCTGGACGACTCCTGATGCGCTTCACCTCGCGTCTGGCGTAGTTCGGTGTTTTTCGCACGTATTGTTGTCACTTCTGCAGAGAGATTCTGCACTGTTGCTTGTAGCTCTGCCATTTACACTAGCATCTTGTTCAATGTATCCTGATCTATGTGTCGCACGCTTCGTCTGGTGGGCAGAGGGGTATCCGTGGCCTTCAGGCAAAGGGAAAGCAAAAATTATCGGAGTCGGGCACGTTAGAATTAACGAACCTTGTAGCCAACCGTTTTGCAGTCCCTTGTAGCGGCCACACTCGGGCCACCAAACAACCCTCGAAAAGCCAAGTGAACTAGGAAAGTAGCTCTGATACCAGGTGTTATGAGTCGTAAAAGAGAGTGCGCGGAATAAGGAATAACGAGACTGTGACTAAATGAACTCACAATACAATGAAGGCACGCGACTAAATAGTGAATACCCTAGCTAGGAGGGAACCTTGGGAGAAGAGGTTGGGTGCACGTTTGTGTCAAACTGTATGTTTGTGTTCTCTCTAGGCTATAGTGGGTTAGCCTACAAGGGGTACAACACTTTAGGGTTAGTACTTGTACCCAACTCATTCATAATTCATTCATTCCTGCACAGTGGATTCTGACATGGTATTCAGAGCAGGAAACCTGCTAGGTTTTTAGGGCCCACCGATCATTCCGCTAGTTCCTGCCCGAAGCGCCCTTGCGCTGTCCGGCCCTCTCGCACAGTGTCACACTGCCCTGCAGCTACTCGCACTACCTGCCCTAGCGCGCTGCCCTGCTATCGCGCGCGCCCCTGCTGCCCGCGAGCAGCTCCTGCCCTGCGCGCCCCTGCTGCCCGCGAGCAGCCCCTGCCCCACGCGCCCTTGCTGCCCGCGAGCAGCCCCTGCCCCGAGCGCCCCTGCTGCACGCGAGCAGCCCCTGCCCCGCGCGCCACTGCTGCCCTCGAGCAGCCCCTGACCAGAGCGCCCCTGCTGCCCGCGAGCAGCCCCTGCCCTGCGCGCCCCTTCTGCCCGCGAGCAGCCCTTGCCCCGCGCGCCACTGCTGCCCGTGAGCAGCCCCTGACCCGAGCGCCCCTGCTGCCCGAAAGCAGCCCCTGCCCTGCGCGCCGCTTCTGCCCGCGAGCAGCCCCACAGCCCAGCGCGCCCCGCAGCCCTAAACGCGCCAGCACGCCCTTCAGGCCAGCGCGCCAGCGCGCCGCGCTGCTAAGCACGCCAGCGCGCCCCGCAGCTTAGCGCGCCAGTGCGCCCCGCAGCCCAGCGCGCCAGCGCGCCCCACTGCTAAGTGTGCCAGCGCGCCCCGCAGCCTAGCGCGCCAGCGTGCCCCACCGCGAAGCGCGCCAGCACGCCCCGCAACCCTAAATAATCAAAAAAAAAAAAAAAAAAAAAAAAAAAAAAAAAACGCCAGTGCGCCCTGCTGCCCAGCGCGCTGCTGCTGCACAGGTTGCTAATGCTGCGATGTGCCTTGCTGAGCAGCGCTGCCTAGGCCGAGCCGCGCCGCCCAGCCCGAGCCTCCCTCCTGCTACTACTGTTGTTGCTTCTGCTCGTGCTACTGCTGCTGCTGGTGGAGGTGCTGCTGGGAGTGCTGGAGGTGCCGCCGCCCAGCCCCACCGAGCCACCCTGCTGCTGCTAATGGTGCTTCTGCTGCTTGTGCTACTGCCACTGCTAGTGGAGGTGCGGCTGGGAGTACTGGAGCTGCTGCTTGTGCTGGAGGTGCTGGACCTACTACTGACCGTCACTGCCTGTCATGGCCACTATCACGGCAGTTGCAGCGGCTAGGGATGGACAGCAGCGGTCACTACCTCTCCCGGACGACCCCACCCCTCAGAAGCTTCGTGAGTGGGTTATTCAGCGAGGCAGTCCTGGTGGTGGAGGTTTTGGTTTTATGTGGCCTCAGCGACCTCGTGACTGTGCTTCTAAGCGATGCGTCCCTGGTCATGTAGAGGCTGCTGCTCTCGGTTCTAGTGATTCTGCTGCCGCTCCAGGTGCTGGTGAGTCTGCTGCAGCTCAAGGTGCTCGTGAGTCTGCTGACGCTCTAGGTACTAGTGCATCTACTACCACACGTCCTGCCTCAGCTGAGGCCTTGCACACTTTCACACTTGACTCAGGCGCATCACGTTGCTTCTTTCGTGATTGCACCACAATCACACCACTCGCAGCACCTGTCCCAGTCTCACTGGCTGACCCCACTGGGGGCCCAGTAGTTGCGCGAGCCTCCACGTGTCCGGCAGCCCCCTCCAGGTCCCTCTCAAGTCTCCACCTCCCTGCGTTCTCCACGAACTTGTTAAGCAACGCAATTCTTCAAGATGAATTAGTTGACACCTTCATTCCTGGAGGACAGCGTGTGGCAATCTGTAAGTGCTCACGGACTGGCCGTCACCTTGCTACCTTCACTCGTCAGCCTAGGTCCGGTTTGTACACACTGACCACGGCGTCTGCACAGGTGGCTGAGTCAGGTCAGGTGGCTGCGTCGAGTTGGGTGTTTGAGTCTGGTCAGCTTGCAGCGTCTTGCTCGTGTCGGGTACTCTCTCACCAGACTCTCCTCTGGCACCACCGCCTGGGTCACCCCTCGCTGCCGCGTCTCCGCAGCATGCACTCCCGCCTCCTTGTCTTTGGCCTTCCCAGGTCTCTGCCCTCCCTCCCGCGCTCGCCTGCCCCGCCGTGCCTTCCCTGCGTCGAGGGGCGGCAGCGCGCCGCTCCTCACTCCTCCGAGTTTCCTCCGACCACTGCTCCTCTGCAGACTCTCCACATGTACGTTTGGGGCCCGGCCCTCATCGGTGGGACGGACC